TTGACACGAGGGTTGTTGCCAAGGGTTGTTGGGGAAAGGTGTGTGCCACGCTGGGTTCACCCACGCTGACGGTGGGTGCTGAGCGTGGTGGGCCCGGGTGCTTGGGCTTGCACTGGTGGGGGACAGGTATGTCGGGCCAACAGTGCTGGACTTCCAGGGCTGGGCTCGGTGGTAGTCGGACTGCCGGTACTGGGGCAACAGGGTTCGTGGGCATCCCGGTGCTTGGCCGACAGATGGTCGGGCCGCGTGGTTGGGCTTCCGTGCTTGGACATGTACTGGGGCAACGTGTAGACCTGCCGTGCCGGGACTCCAGTCTGGGCGACAGTGTGGTTGGGGTCCCGTGTAGTGGACTGATCAGTTGAGGGACCCAGTGCTTAGGGCTCTGTAGTGGAAGGACTCTGAGTTGTTGGACCGAGGTTGTTGGACCAAGGGTTGTTGTGGGAAAGTCGTGGTGGGTGCCACGCTTGGTTCACCCACGGTGACGTGGGTCGGCGAGTGGTCGTGCCCGAGGGCTTGGGCTTGCACTGGTGGGGACAAGGTAGTCGGCCCAACAGTGCTGGGAACTACCTGTGTAGGGTCTGGTTGTAGTCCGACTGCCGGTACTGGGCACAGGGTCGTGCGGCATCCCCGTGCTTGGCGGCACAGAGTGGTCGGGCCGCCGTGGTTGGGCTCCTCACGGTGCTTGGGATCAATGTACTGGGCCAACTGTTAGTAGGACTGCCGTGAGGACTCCATGAGGCGACAGGGTGGTTGGGGTCCCGGGTGCTTGACTGGTCAGTTTGAGGACAACCAAGTGCTTTGGCTCTGAGTGGAAGGACTCAGTCAGTGTGCGTGGTGGGGAGCTGGTGCACGGGTTACCACGGTGTCGGAACTGGGTCTGGTGGGGGCTCCGAGGTGGTTGGGGGTTGGCACTGGGCTGCACGGGAAGTGGAGCAAGGTAGTAGGGCGGCACGTTGCTGGGACCGTGCTCCGGTGACATTAGTGGGACCATGCGGGCTGTGTAGTCGGAACGTCTGGGCCGGTACTGGGCGACAGGGTCGTGGGCATCCCCGTGCTTGGCCACAGAGTGGTCGGGCCGGCCGTGGTTGGGCTTCGGTGCTTGGGATCAATGTACTGGGGCCAACTGTTGTAGGACACTGCCGTGCTCGGGACTCCAGTGCTGGGCGACAGGGTGGTTGGGTCCGGTGTTGGACTGCTCAGTTGAGGGACCACCAGTGCTTGGGCTCTGAGTGGAAGGACTCTGAGTTGTTGGACCGAGGGTTGTTGGACCAAGGGTTGTTGGGGAAAGCGTGGTGGGTGCCAGCGCTGGGTTCACCCACGGTGACGGTGGGTGCCGAGGTGGCGGGCCCGAGGTGCTTGGGCTTGCACTGGTGGGGGACAAGGTAGTCGGCCCAACAGTGCTGGGACTTCCGGATAGGGCTGGTTGAGTCGGACTGCCGGTACTGGGACAGGGTCGTGGGCAATCCCCGTGCTTGGCACAGAGTGGTCGGGCCGGCCGTGGTTGGGCTTCGGTGCTTGGATCATGACTGGGCAAACTGTTGTTAGGACCTGCCGTTGCCGGACTCCAGTGCTAGGGCGACAGGTGGTTGATCCCCGTGCTTGACGCATTTGAGGGACTCCAACGTGCTTTGGCTCTGAGTGGAAGGAACTCTGGTGCCTGGACCGGGTTGTGGACCAGGGTTGTTGGGGAAAGCGTGGTGGTGCCACGCTGGGTTAACCCACGGTGCACGTGGGAAGATGTGTCGGGATGCCGTGGCGACGGTGATTGGGCTTGCACTGGTGGGGGACAAGGTAGTCGCCAACAGTGTATGGACTTCCGGTGTAGGGCTCGTTGAGGCGGACTGCCAGTACTGGCGAGGTCGTGGGCATCCCCGGCTTGGCGCACAGATGGTCGAGACCGGCCGTGTGGGTCTGACCGGTGCTTCGGGATCAATGTACTGGGCGACAACTGTTGTAGGACCTGCCGTTCTGGATCCAGTGCTGGCACAGGTGGTTGGGGTCCGGTGCTTGGACTTTGTAGTTGTAGGGACCACGATCTTTGGGCTCTGAGTGGAAGACTCTGAGTTGTTGACCGAGGTGTGTTGGACCAAGGTTGTTGGGGAAGCGTGGTGGGTGCACGCTGGGTTCACCCAACGGTGACGGTGGGTGCTGGGGTGGTCGGGGCCGAGGTGCTTGGGCTTGCACTGGTGGGGAGTCAAGCCGTGTCGGGCCAACATGTGCTGGGACTTCCGGTCTTAGGGCTGGTTGTATAGTCAGACTGCCGGTACTGGGCGACAGGTCGTGGCATCCCGGTGCTTGCGGGACAGAGTGGCGACCGGCCGGTTTGGGCTTCCGTGCTTGGGGTCAATTACTGGGGCCCAACTGTTGTAGGACCTGCCGTGCTCGGGACTCCAGTGCTAGGCGACAGGGTGGTTGGGGTCCGGTGCTTGGACTGTCAGTTGAGGACCACCAGTGCTTGGGCTCTGAGTGGGGACAACGTGGTTGGGACTCTGAGTGGAGTACTCGATGGGTTGTTGGACCAAGGTTGTTGGGGAAAGCGTGGTGGGTGCCACGCTGGGTTCACCCACGGTGACGGTGGGTGCCGAGGTGGCGGGCCCGAGGTGCTTGGCGCTTGCACTGGTGGGGGACAAGGTAGTCGGGCAACAGTTGTGGACTTCCGGTGCTAGGGCTGGTTGTAGTCGGACTGCCGGTACTGGGCGACAGGGTCGTGGGCATCCCCGTGCTTGGCCGACAGATGGTCGGGCCGGCCGTGGTTGGGCTTCCGGTGCTTGGGATCAATAGTACTGGGGCCAACAGTGTTGTAGGACCTGCCGGTGCTCGGGACTCCAGTCTGGGCGACAGGGTGGTTGGGGTCCCGGTGCTTGGACTGTCAGTTGAGGGACCACCAGTGCTTGGGCTCTGAGTGGAAGGACTCTGAGTTGTTGGACCGAGGGTTGTTGGACCAAGGGTTTGGGAAAGCGTGGTGGGTGCCACGCTGGGTTCACCCACGGGTGACGGTGGGTGCCGAGGTGGTCGGGCCCGAGGGCTTGGGCTTGCACTGGTGGGGACAAGGTAGTCGGGCAACAGTGCTGGGCTTCCGGTGTAGGCTGGTTGTAGTCGGACTGGCCGGTACTGGGCGACAGGGTCGTGGGCATCCCCGTGCTTGGACCACAGAGTGGTCGGACCGGCACGTGAGTTGGGCTCCGGTGCTTGGTATCAATTACTGGGGCCTAACACTGTTGTAGGACCTGCGGTGCCCGACTCACATTGCTGCGACAGGGGGGTTGGGGTCAGGTGCTTGGACTTTGTAGTTGTGGGACCACGATGCTTTGGGCTCTGAGTTGAAAGGACTCTGAGTTTGTTGGAGCGAGGGTTTGGACAAGGGTTGTTGGGAAAGCGTGGGTGGGTGCCACGGCTGGGTTCACCCACGGTACGGTGGGTGCCAGGTGGTCGGGCCCGAGGTGCTTGGGCTTGCACTGTGGGGGACAAGGTAGTCGGGCCAACAGTGCTGGGACTTCCGGTGATAGGGCTCGGTTGTAGTCGGACTGCCGGTACTGGGCGACAGGGTCGTGGGCATCCCGTGCTTGGCCACAGAGTGGTCGGGCCGGCCGTGGTTGGGCTTCCGGTGCTTGGGATCAATGTACTGGGGCCAACTGTTGTAGGACCTGCCGTGCTCGGGACTCCAGATGCTAGCGCGAAGGGAGTGGTTGGGGTCCCGCGGTGCTTGGACTGTCATGAGGGACCACCAGTGCTTGGGCTCTGAGTGGAAGGAACTCTGAGTTGTTGACACGAGGTTGTGGAACAAGGGTTGTTGGGGAAAGCGTGGTGGTGTGCCAAGCTGGGTTCACCCAGGCTGCACGTGTGGGTGCGAGTTGTCGGCCCGAGGTGCTGGGCTTGCACTGTGTGGGGACAAGGGTCGGGCCAACAGTGTGGGACTTCCGGCTGCTAGGCTGGTTGTAGTCGAGACTGCCGGTACTGGGCGACAGGGTCTGGGAGTCCCGTGCGTTGCGCGCAAGAGGTGGGGCCGCCGTGTTGGCTTCCGTGCTTGGGATCCATGTACTGGGGCCAACTGTTGTAGGACTGCCGTGCTCGGGACTCCATTGCTAGGCGACAGGTTTTGGGTCCGGTGCTTGGACTGTCAGTTGAGGAGGGCCACAGTGCTTGGCCTTCGAGGGAAGACTCTGAGTTGTTGAGACCAGGGTTGTTGGACCAGAGGTTTGGGGAAAGCGTGGTGTGCGTGCCACGCGGGTTCACCCAACGGTGAACGGTGGGTTGCCGGGGGCGGGCCCGAGTGTGCTTGGGCTTGCACTGGTGGGGGCAAGGGTAGCGGGCGCAAACAGTTGTGGACTTCCGGTGTATGGCTGGTTGTAGTCGACTGCCGGTAGCTGGGCGCAGGGTCGGGGGCATCCCGTGCTTGGCGACAGGAGTGGTCGGGCCGGCCGTGGTTGGGCTTACCGGTGCTCTGGGATCAATGTACTGGTGGCCAACATGTTGTAGGACCTTGCCGTGCTCGGGACTCCAGTGCTGGCGACAGGGTGTTGGTCCGGTGCTTGGACTGTCAGTGTGATGGGACCACCAGTGCTTGGGCTCTGAGCGGAAGGACTCTGTGTTGTTGGACCGAGGGTTGTTGAGACCAAGGTGTTGATTGGTGGAAAGCGTGTGTGGGTGCCACGCTTGGTTCACCCACGAGTGACGTGTGGGTGCCGAGGTGGTCGGGGCCCGAGGTGCTTGTGGCTTGCACTGGTGGGGGACAAAGTAGTCGGGCCAACAGTTGCTGGACTATTCCGTGTAGTGGCTGGTTGTAGTCGGACTGCCGTACTGGGCGACAGGGTCGGTGCTACCCGTGCTGTGGCCACAGAGTGGTCGGACCGGAAGTGCTGGGGCCTGCAGTACTTGGAATCAAATGTACTGGGGCAACTGTGTAGAACCTGCCGTCTCGGGACTCCATGCTGGGCGACTGGGTGGTTGGGGTCCCGGTGCTTGGACTGTCAGTTGAGGGACAACCAGTGCTTGGGCTCTGAATGGAGGGAACTCTGAGTTGTTTGGACCCCGAGGGTTTGTTGGCTAGCCCGACTACATTGTCACCGACTACGTCAAGCTCCACAGCTCTAAGCCCAAGCACTGCAGGCCCCACAACATTGTCGCCATCTACTGCCAGCCCAAAAACTGCAGGTCCAACTACTTTGTATCCCACAACACTTAAACCCACCACACTGAGCCCCAGTACGTCTAGCCCGACTACATTGTCACCAACGACCTCCAGCCCCACAACACTTGGTCCAACGACTCTGTACCCCACAACACTTGAACCCACCACTCTGAGCCCAACAACTGCTAACCCCACAACCTTGGGGCCCACTTTGCCTGCAGGTGATCCAAGTACCAGTCCCACAACCCAGTTGCCTACAACTGTTGGTCCATCAACTCTGGCTCCCAGCAATGGTCCCACAGCTTTTGCAACCCCAGATTCAACTCCTGAAGCAACTCAGGACACAACACAAGAGGTCACCCAAGAAGCGACCCAGAAAAACACTGAGAGTTTACGCCCCAGCACAGCACACCCAACTACTTTGGCTCCAAGCACTGTGAGCCCCACTAGTTCAAGTCCGACCACGGCTAGCCCAACCACCTTGGCTCCCACTGCTTCTGGAGGTGAACCCAGCGCCACGCCCACCACGCGGTCCCCAACAACTCTAGGTCCAACAACTCAGAGTCCGAGCACTGGTAGTCCCTCAACTCAGGTCCCAAGCACCAGAACTCCATCTACATTGTTGCCCAGCACTGGAGTCCCCACAACGGCTGTCCCGAGCACAGCAGGTCCTACAACAGGTAGCCCCAGTACATGGGGCCCAAGCACGGCTAGCCCAAGCAACGCTGCTCCCTCCACCCAGGTCCCAAGCACCAGTGGTCCTTCATCTGAGATTACAACCACTGTGACTCCCAGCACAGGAACACCAAGTACCTTGATGCCTAGTACCGTGAGCCCCAGCACCGTCAGCCCAACAACTGTAGTCCCTACGACAATGATCCCCAGCACTGGCACTCCATCTACCACCAGGCCAACTACTGTTAACCCCACCCCCAGCACAGGAATCCCAACGAGTTTGTCGCCCAGTACTGCAATCCCAACAACTTTGGCTCCCTCTGTTCCTGTGAAGGAACCCAGCATAGCTCCCACCACTCTTAGCCCCACAACGTTGGCTCCTTCAACAGGAAGCCCCACGACCTCGACCCCTTCAGCTAATCCCACATCGAGTGCTCCTACTTCCAGCAACCCAACAACAGATGCCCCATCATCGTTGCCCAGCAGTGCTCCATCGTTTTTACCAAGCAGTGTTCCCTCTTTTACTCCCAGTGAATCACCTGTAACAGATAACCCGACAAGCTCCAGTCCCACAACTGTTGAGCCTACAACGGCTATTCCTTCAACCCTGTTACCAACAATGGCTCCAACACCTGAACCTACCAACCAGCCCACCGACCATCCAACAAGTGCTCCAAGTAACCATCCTACACCACAACCTACTCAGCAACCCACCAACCCTCCAACTGAGCAACCAACTAGTCCACCGACAGAACACCCAACCAATCCACCTACAGGAGAACCCACTCCACAACCAACGGACCAACCAACCAAGGGACCAACGGACCAACCAAGCAAGCAACCAACGGACCAGCCTTCCAAAGAGCCCACTGACCAACCCACACCAATTCCAACTGAGATGCCTCAGGAGACTCGTCATCTGAAGAACAGGAATTATGTTTCTGAAATTCGTGGATGTTTGCACTGTGGAAATGCCGCAATTCCCTTTATCTATACCAAAAAGTCAGTTTTGTCACGAGACATCTCAGGTTTCCTTGAATGCACCGACCTGTCTGGTCCCTGTGTTTGGGAAGGTGAAGAAATGCCTTCTTCCAGAGAACTGACCTTGATGTTGTTGGATGATGAATATTATGATGGGGTCTTTATTGTCTTCATGCTGGGTTCACACCAACAGAAACCATCTGATGAATCCCTTGTCCACGTTTTCTGCGATTCTGCTCTTGCATCCACGAATGGCTTTTCTGAGAGAAGCAGTTTAAGTGAGAGTTTGATCTTGGGTGGAGGGGCAGGAAACCTTGGCAACCAGCTATTAGTTGGTCCATTTTCAAAGAGCAACCTTCCCATTGAAGTCTGTTTTGAGTTTACAACGATGCAGAATATTGACAGGTTTCGTGTTTTGAATGCTGAAGATGGCCTAGATGCGGATGACCTTTTGGGAAGAGTTCACAACACTGAGCTATGCATCAGTATTGTGGCGTCTGAATACAGTGTGGAATCCCAGCCCAAGTCTTTCAGTCAGGCTAATAATGCAGAGACTGACCAGGAAAAGACTGCAGACACATCTGAATATCCCATTGAAGGGGGCACCAACAAAGAGCTGGATTTTGATGAGAGCTTGGAAAGTACAGGTAGCATGTTGATTCATGCTCTTGTCATTGCCTGCTTTGGATTGGTGATATGGATGGTTCACTGCGCGAGAAAATGGTTCTAGTTTTGAGGAGACAAGGTTTCAATTAATTTGCCAAAGCAGTGTCCAAGTACTAGCTTGCTTGTTGCCTGGTGATTTCGGCAGGAAAAACAATTGCAAAGGAGTGTCTGTTGCGCGAAGGACAGACCAAATAGTTAGATAAGCAGCAACACTGCACTCTCACTTATCCTTTAGCACGACAGTACACTGATTGATAGGTCTCGTGACAGATTATGATGCCCACACTACGCTAACGCTAGTTTTTGTGTAGCTTTGGTAGAAAAAGGCTTAAATAAATGCTTCATTAATAAGTGTGTGAGAGACTGACGTAAACTATCGTCTGTGTGGAGTTCACTAAAGTGCTCAGTAGCATGGGATGGAACCCATCCTCGTCACCAATGCTCATGTTGCCAGTTCTCACAAACGGTGAGACTGCAACTTTTTCTTGTCGCCACTTGCTGAACGGTGGGGAAACCAACACTTGTTGAAGACGAGCATTGATGTGACCACGGTTCAGTAGTGATTCTTCTTCATATGTAGACAAATAGTTGGCCATATCTAGCGGAGGCAGACTCTCAGTGGAGTGGCCTTCCTGCCCCGCAATCATGTCCCTTGACAGATGGGATGGATGGGCTGTACCCGCAGGGACGTAGTTTAGTTGCCCGTCCGAAAATCCAGGGACGGTGCTAGCAGCACGGACTGGAGGGATCCAATCCTGTGGGCCATCATGGAAGCAATCACATGATGGAACCACATGCCAAACGGTTGAGGACTCCCCATTGCCTTGGAGGCAGAGGAGATTGAGACCTTGGTGGTTGGGACATTGGACTCATCCTGTGGTTGGGCTGCGTAGCTGCTGTCAACCATTGGTGGTGGTTGTCGACTGGATGGCATTGCTGCCAAAGGGATCCTCTCATTTGGTACAAGCCTGGTGGCACTGGGAGTACCGAGGAGAGGTGGTCCAGGATGGACCAAGCTGAGAATCTTTGGTGTCGTTCGACGTGGTGGACACTTGGATCTCCAGCCAAGGTTGATTGTTGCACCTGCCCTGGAAGCTGTCTGCTTGAAAGCATCCTGCTTTGGGTGTGCACTTGCCTGCAAAGGGATCGCCTCGTTTGGAACCAGCCTGGTGGCACTGGGAGTACCAAAGAGAGGTGGCTCTGCTAGAACCGCGTTGGTTGCCTTGTGTGTCGCCTTGATAGGCAAACCGTAGGGCATCCAACATGGGTTGGTTGTCTTGGGTCTACCAAAGGACGTGCGGTCCTGCTTGGAAGGGACAACGGTTGTGTTGATAAATGCGGGATTTCCTGGGATGGTGGAATCGTCCAGCTAGAATCGTTGTTGCTGTTGGATACAGTCCTAGCCTCTCCATAAGCCAATGTAGAAGCTGGGTGACTACTGGAGCTGAAGGTAGGCAGCTCTGTAATCTCCCCATCACCCAGCGATGCATTGGGAGCACCAGCTAGGGCAAATGGTTGCACTGGAGCAACCAAGGGAGTGGCATTGGGCAGCTGGTTGTTGGTCGCTCTGACTCGCAAAGGACGAGTGGCTGGCGACTCCCCACAAGCCGGCTTGGAAGATGACTGGTGGTTGGTTGTGGCACCGACCAAAGGGCGAGTGACACTATAGTGCCAGACAACTCCCCACAATCGTGCTTGAGAGATGTGTGGTACCGGTTGTGCCTCCTGGTCCTGGAGGCGGCTGCTTTCTGCCTGAGGGAAGCTGCTTTTCCATTTATCTTCTCGAGGTTTCGGCTAAGGGACTTGTCAAGCAGCTGACGAATGCACCACTGTTGCTCTTCAATGAGGCTATCAAGGGTAGTGCCAAGGGCTTGGATAGAGGTGTGCTGCTCATCCAGACTCTTCATGATGGCCTGAACCGTATCCTCCCGGGTTGTAGGGGAAGTGTGGCTAGTTGGTCTTGGGCTAGCCTGTTTCCTTGGTTCTCTAGCCTTCGAGACATTCCGTGATGGTGGAGGAGTCACTGTGGGTATGTAGAGTGACATGGTTGCTTTCTTTCTGCCAAGGAAGAGGTATAGGCTGTACTTGGTGGAAGCACTGGATCTCAGCTCTTGTACATCTAAGAAGCCCATAATGGGGTCTCGCGAAAACAGCGAGGTCTGGAAGGTACCGAACGACATGCGTCCCTAGGCGATTGGTGACGTCATTGCTCCCGGATTTGGATGGTGTTTGTTGTGGAACATGTACTGGGTTTGGTTCTCCATTGGGTGTGGCAGTATGCACCGTTTTGGAACCCTGCATGCATCCTAAATTCCCAACCCCATAGGTACGACCAATTTTGTGGTCCCGTTTTGTCCCCTATGCCATACCAATGAACATGGAAACTACATACAGAATCCGTACAGAGCGGTTTGGGGTTAGCTTTTGGTAACACACTCACATTTTGTAAGGTCGTGTAGACTTTGCCTAAGGTATTACAGTTCTTTATACGGGCTAGCGATCGGCAATTACTACTAGCTAACTACTCTACTAGTTGTATCATGGGTATTGGTATTGCGACTACTGTAAGCTTGGTTTGAAAGCAAGGGGCACTAAGTGCTCACACCAACCAATCTCGGAGTTGCATTGCAGCAAGGCAGAATGCACTTGGCATTGGAAAAGCAAAAAGAAGTACTAGTAATAGGAGAAAAAGGAACATGACTACTGCAGGGCTTGGTGCCACCGACACTGGAAGACCCGCTAAAACACCACGGCAAGTTAGAAAATCTGCAGGAGAGGCAGAGAGGCACATCGAGTTAAATGCCAGCCATTCCACATGACATGGTGGAGGAAGATAAAATTGCTTGGGCCATGCAATATGGTGGTGGTATTGGTTCTGAAAGCGAGGAAGACAATTGAAAACCAGCAGCTGACCCGCAGTTTGGTACCCGAGATGACGGCAATGAGGAAGCAAAAGAGTAGGCAGATGAGGAAGCCAAAGAGGAAACTGATGAGGAAAGAAGTGACGACGATTCGCCAAGAAAGACACAAGATGATGATGGATAGTAATGATGATGATGATGAGACCAGCAGTGGTGGATTAACAGCTACCCTGGTACAAAATTCCCAAGGAATGGAACAATGACAATGAACCTCCAGACGATAGGAACATAAACCAATTCCGGCAATATAGTGCAGATTCAAAGAAGACGTTCCTCACCTTGGATAAGAACAGGTTCGGTGTGTCAAATTGATGGATATCCTTCGAAAAAACAAGGCGCCTTTGACTGCGTATGATTATGTGTTGACATGGCACTTGTATGAAACTGGAGCCCGATTGGTTGACGAGAAGCTTGGTGAAGTTCCGGAGTACTTGAGCCGGAAAAAGTTGATGATCTTCCTCATGACAAGATAAAACATGGGTGGCAAATTCCCTTTCACAAAATACCTTGTGCTTCCACATTCAGGTTCTAACATCAAGGTGGTGTACCACGATGCTCGCCATTGTTGTGTGTGGCAATTGCTTGCCGATCCACCCCTCAAGGACGACGAATTTCTGCCCTTTTCGATACGATCAGACTAGCTCCTACCACCTTAAAATCGAGGCTACCAAAAATCTATCGTCCCTAGTTGATACACTGGTGGGCCGTACCGAAAATGTACAGGGCATACCTCAATCCTGTATATAGCGTAGTGTGACTCTGATCTTTGTCTGTTTTAGGGGTGGGCGGTGATTTTGTCCTCTTCTTGTGTTTTT